TTTTTTATTCCAGATAGTTTTTTTATTAGCAAAGAAATTTAAAATTTTTGGTCCTTCCTTTTGTTCAACGTATTTTACGTTGATGACAATCATTTACACTAAGTTCTTCAATTTGGTTACAAATTTTTTGTGTTTTGTATTGTTTTTAACTCAAAAAAATGCCAAAAAGCATGCTTTGGCATTGTGGCACTTCGATAGTGATGATGCCCAGAAATCATATAATCACGGGTTCAAACCGCACATGCGCTGCAATTTGTAATTGTCGAAATTGATTTGGCTCGTCTCAGAAAAAAAAACTCCAAACTAAACAAAGGCAAACTTTTTGGTTTTATTAGTTCTTTGCTTGATATTATGTAATTTTGATGTCAACTTTCCTGCGGCTTTTTTTCCAGTTTCACACCCCCTCGTAAAATTACAAAATAAAAATGTTCAAAAATTGTTCACACGGCATTTTTCATGTAGGAATGTTGTAAAAATTTGTTCACTTGTTCACGCCGACACATTTTGATGCAGTTTTCAACATGAAAATACATTTCAAAAATACATTTTATTTATTGAATTTCAGAAAAAATTTAACATTAAGAGGCCAAACTGTGCACTGGATAGGCGCACAAATTTGTGTCGGTATGTTCCTGGATTCCAGAGACAAGTCATTTTGTCGGAATGATCAAAGAAAATGGAAGAACAAAAGAAGAAGAACGGGAGCATAATTTTTGCGAAATCCGTTTACAATTCTCAAAATACACAGTTTAGCCTAAAGAATGGATACTGGAAAAGAGCCCTTTCCTGCTTTTGTTAAACAGTCTTTTGGGAACTTGTTTTGTCAATTTTGAATTTATTAGATATTTCCCTATATTAATTGCTGATTTCATAGCTTTGAATAAAAAAAGTTGAACGTATTTGTCGTGTGTAGTTTTTTCAACTCAAGAATGAAATCTTCATTCAAGTTTTTTTGTCCAAAGAGCTTCCTAAATAGTAGTTGACCAAAGAAAAAGAACGTTAGAGAGCCTTTTAACTGAAATGTTTCATAAAAGATTGAAAACTTTTATGAAATGAAATACACGCACTGAATAAACTTTGGATCAACTTGAACCTATTCCAATTTGATTTCTGTGTTCATTCGATTCGATTTAAAGTGGAAGATTTGGTCACTGAAATAAATTTTAAGTTGACTAAAAAGGAAAACTTACAATCCAAAAAATCAGTTCTTTCAAAGTTGGATGTATTTTGGTCACCATTACCCGTCCGAATCTCATCAAAACCATTTTTATTCAAATCTCACTAAAAAAACGACCTAAAGAGATGCAAGTTAGATGGATTGAACTGTTTTTTTGTTTTTGGTGAGATTTGAATAAAAATAGTTTTGATGAGACTCGAACGGGTAATGGTGACCAAAATACATCCAACTTTGAAAAAAACTGATTTTTTAGATGGTAAGTTTTCATTTTTAGTCAAATTAATATTTATTTCAGTGACCAAATCCTCCATTTCAAATCGAATCGAATGAACACAGAAATCAAATTGGAATAGGTTCAAGTTGCTCCAAAGTTATTTCAGTGCGTGTATTTCATTTCGTAAAATTTTTCACTCAATTATGAAACGTTTCATTTAAAAAGTTCTTTAACGTTGAAAAAAGGAAACGGTCGACTAATTACCACAGAAATAGTTCAAAATTGGAAAAAAACCATGGATATCAATTTAATAGGGTTTTTTTCGCTCATCTTTAGTGAGTGAGTGATGCCAATACATTATATGTGGTAATAATCAGTGTTGCAATCTTTTAAAATAAGGTCCATAAAAAGATAACCTTAATTTTTCGCAGTGATGGTTGAGTTGGGTGAATCAAGCAACCCGAAAAATACAGTTGATGATAAAATGCCAAGGGACAAAGGAAATAGATTCAATTTTATTGAGGCCAGCTTTCCTCAAATCAACTATGCAAGCACACATGATCAAATACTATGAAGTTCTGAAAAATCCCGCCATCTTTTAACAACCAGATAAAATTAATTGAGAATGAAAAATTTGGCAAAACGAAAAAAAAATGAAATTCGTTTCCATTTATTTTTCTTTTTAACTCCGATCAGCTATGTAAAGAACAGCAAAAATTGCGAATGGTGTACGATAAATGAAGTTAAGCTGCGTCTCTTAGCTCTATGTTGAGTTTAGTTGCATAACACAACTTTTTTAAACCACTTTTTAGTTGCACAACACAATTTGTTTCAACCCCCAAAAATTTTTCAAAAGTGATAGTTTGTAAATTAAAGTTTGAGCTCAAGTCGGTCAATTTCCTTCTTCTCTCCCCCGATTGATTTTTTATAAGTAAATTTGTTCAGTCAAGTTTTCCAATTAGTATGAAAAATGAAAATAATGAAAATGAAACTATTCAAGTGATGACAAACATTTTTCCTACACAATTTGAAAACCCTTGGTTACAACAAAAAAAACTATACCCGGGCAAAGTGGGGGACAAAAGATAAGATTTTAATAGTCTGTAGGTAATATGTAAACTGTCTTTATAAACTGCTCCCTAAAACACAGATTGGTTGAATAAAAAACCTCCCTAAGTACGAATACTTAGTCAATTTCTTCGAAAGTCGAGAGAATTTTTTAATAAAAATATTAATAATCTGATCAAAGTATAATTGAACGTTTTGTATTGAGATCTTCAAACTATTATAAAAAACCAAAAAAGACCAAAGAGGCAAAGAGCAATATGAAATGCAAAAAAAACATTTATAAGCTGCAATTTTTTCACGAAGGTCTGAATGGACATTGGGTAGGAAGGATTTTTCTTTCATAGGTTGAGTCATCTTATTGCAAAAATTAAAATATGTAATCAGCGTAAAAGGGAGTATTAATGAATTACATCGTCAAAATTTTTTGTTTTTTCTTTTGTGGTTGTAGCGAAAGCCTGGAGCAAGAATTCTCAAAATATTTATCCGAAAAAAGCTAGGAAAATTGCCAAATAATTTATTTCATTCTTAGTTAGGCGCAAAAACGTTTATATATTAATCGTAGTCTTGATCTAGGTTAGAAAAATGATAGAAAAAAAACTGCGTTGAATAAATAAATGTTTCAAAAATAAAAGATAATGTAAACTGCTATCTAAACTGCTATACACAAAATGTTTTTCATTGCAAAAATTTCAACCACTTTTTTCAAATTAGGGAAAAAGCATGGCTTGTAAAATTATTTTAAACTCAAATCACTAAAATTCGTTGTCATGCATAGGTTGTATGTTTTTGCCTTTGATTAGCCAGTGTTTCAACCTTCAATTCAATCAAACATCGATTTAATTTTGTAGTAATTTGAGAGTGTGGGGGACCAGAGAAAACGGTAAGAACATTTCAATTTGTCTCTATTTCCAATTTACAAACAAATGTGTTTTTTTTTCGCTTTTCACCATATTTCATTATTTTGTTTTCATAGTTGTTTTGTTGTTTTTTGGGCGCTTTTCCACTTTCCCCCAGCCACGGTATTTTTTTTTCATGTTTGAATTTTAAAAACTTATTTTGTGTTGTCATAATGTCATGAAATTTTACATCCTGAACAAACTAACTTTTGTGAAGACACTTGATTTATATACATTACATCGTAACATCACGCATTCAGCCATAAAAACACACAAGACAACTGAGAAAATGGGGAAATTATAAACGAGCCGAGTGTTACAGTTGTTAGATTGTTCACCGTGCAAAATTTCATTATATGGTGACAAAAAAAGTTGAAATTCAATGAACAAAAATTGTTCACATGACGTTTTGCATGAAAGATTTTTTTGTAAAAGTTTGTTCACCTGTTCACGCTGACATGTTTTAGTGCAGTTTATAACATGAAAAGTGATATTAATTTGACTTTCGTATATTGAGTTTCAGAAAAACTAAGAGGAGAGAGGACTGGAAAAAAGAGGCGAGGGGACTGGAAAAAAGCCGGAAAACCAAAAAATGGAAACAGGAAAAAATATGGAAATTATGATTAGAATAGCTCTACTAAATTAATTTGCAGTATAAAAAGTTAAGCTCTTTTCCACTTTCCCCCAAATTTCAATTTTTTTTCAGTTGTCTTGCGTGTTGTTATGGCTGACTGCGTGATTTTAAAATGAAAAGTATGAATAACAAATGTGTTCACAATAGTTAGTTTGTTCGCCAAGCAATTTTTTTATTATATTATGACAACAAAAATATAGTTTTTAAAATTCTGAAAGTCAAAACTGAAATTCAAATGTTGGGGGAGTGGAAAAGAGCTCTTAGTAGATGACAAAAAAGAAAAAATCCTAAATGCCCTTCTGATCTAGGCGCTGATCTTACCTTATGATTATTCCACTGTTACTCCTTTAAAATGTACTCAAGATAGCACGTGCAATGATTTTCACTCTATTATTTTGACTTCTATGGATGGTTTTATTTTCGACCAATAATCGATAGTCGACTATGCTCAAACTCCAAAGTGTAAATTATAAATGCCTTTTTCTCACGAGAAAGCAAAAGTCAAAAAATTTGTAATGGAAATAATTAGGTAATTATAAGACTGTTTTTGATGTTTGCTATTTAGCTTTTCCCTCTGACACTTCCTGCCTCAACTAGCAATTGCTGTATTTTTGGGTACAGGTGAACAGAAAGTTCCCAGCAAAAAAGTAATCACAGCAAAAAAAAACATTTGATGGAAAACATCGATTATCTGAATAGTCTGTTTATGGCTTTGGGCGATTGGACTTTCGAAGTAAGCTCCAAAAGTTAGGAATTAAAAATCTTAACTGCGAATCAAGGCTAGAAAAAAGTGATGCATAATCAAATTTCGTGTCCATTCCTTTTTGGAAGTATTTTTTGGACTTCGAGTCTAATCTCAAAACAGTAAGTATGATAACACGCTCTATAGCCCAGAAACGTTCTTTTAAGACAGTGAAATTGAATAAAGAAAACAATATTTCGATATTCGCATAGTTTCTTAAATTATTCAAAACATTAAGGAACAATTTTTTCTTGACTTCAAAAGCAATACTAATTTGAAGAAAAACAAATAGCTTTGAAAACTCAAACGCAGAAACACCATCAAGTACGCTTCATCTGTCAATAATTGCAATTTAATGTTTGAATAAAAACAGAGCGTGTTGTTGTTTTTAAACCAAATAAGGTTTGATGACCGTCTCGTAAACAGTTCGGTTTTGAATCCACTGCGTATGCTCGACACCCGGCATCATGTGAACATCCACCCCTCCCCTTTCATTCAGAGTCCTCAACCCGTATGAGTCTTGGATATAGGTGGGTTGGTTGTAGTAGGGCAGGACGGTGAGGTTCTTGTCGTAGAAGGTGTAATGAGCCGACTGCCACGGGATTATGGTTCCGTCATCGGGACCCCCGACTAGCACTAGTTTCTTCAGCTTCAGAAAATTCTCTTTGTATCTGAACCACGAAGATAACTACTTCAATTTTTTTATTCAATATTTTATAGCTTATTTCATTGCCGCAAGATAGTTTTTTGAGAATCTTAAGATTGCTGGAGATGATAGCGATTCAAACTTCCGTTCTTTTATTTCAAATTTAGGCTCTCAAATCATTCAACTTCCACTGACTAAAGATCCGCAATTAAAAATCACAAAGAAACTTTATTTAAATCTGAAAAAAGGATCTTGTTATTGAGCTAAGTTGTGATTAACAAGTTTTGAAGAAAAAAATATTTAAACATCAACTTCTTATCTTATTTAATTATTCAAAACCTTAAAAAAATTTGAAACATTAAAAAAGGTCGTTCAAAGCTCTTATCAGCCTTTCAAAAATCTCGATAGAAAAATTGGAAGCTCGGAGTACCTCATCGTACCTCATAATTTTTTGTCAAAACTTCCAAAACTGGCCATTTAAAAAAGCGCCCAAAAACATTTTAAGCCCGGCTTTGAAAAAATTTTACAAATAAAAGTTTACCTTTTAAAAGAATTCAGAAATTCAATCTGGTCAACGAAGAAAACTTAAAATGCACGCTTGATTGTAAAATGAACCATTCCCGATAAAAACCAAAAACTTGATCGCCACGCGCCACCCGAACTGTTTCATGGATAATAATCATATTTATTGGACTTTCCTTGTCAGTCTAAGTAAATTTCAAACATATACAATTATAATCGATTACAGCTGGATTAAAATTCCAATATTTGTTAGATCAATATGATTCAAATTTAATTGACTATAATCGATTAAACGAGATTTTTTCCAGAGGTCATTGATGAATACTGCAAGTTTTTTTATCAAAGTTATCTCATTTCCTGGTTAGTGCAGTTGTTACTTTTTACGTTTTATCACCTTAAAAGCTTCACATAATATTTCAAATTTCTTAAGTTTGTCTACATTTTCAATAGACAGTTTAACTTTTTATTCAATTGTTTTTCTACTATCACCATGGTAGTAAAAAATTGACCATTCACCAATTCTCACTACTGCCCTTTACCCACCGCCTACCTCACGTTCAAGTTAGGGTAGATTTCTTAGGGTTGAAAATGGTTGAACGGGATTAAGGCAGAAACGCAAAATTTAGTGTGTAGGTCTCTTGAATTCAGAGACAAATTTTTAAACATAAATAAACTTTGTCGGAACGATCAAATAAAGCAAAAGATCAAAGAGATTGTCCTTGTTATTAAGCGTTACTTTTTATGCGCAAAATGTTCAACCGCGACGAAAAAATCTTTTCTAAAAAAACAAGAAAAAAAAACAAAACACCAGATTTATTGCCCCTGGTTGACAAAAATGCTCATCAAAAACTTTCATATAATGAAGAAAATGCCAGTTATACAGTGTCATTTAATTTCTTGAATTGAAAGTTTGCTACAATTTCTTGGACCAAAAAAAACTGTATGAAAAGAGCAAAATAAGCATTTTGTATATACTCAGATATTTTATAATAAGCATTTTTGTCTTTTTCTGGAATCAATTAACATGCTTTTTGCCATACTTTTTATCAAAATTTTTTTGAAAATAGCAAAAGCAACTTTTGGTTCAACAAAATTGTATGGTAAGCTGTTTTTTCCATTCAAAAAAAATGTATGATAAGAATTTTTCCCTTTCAATTAATTTTTATGACAAGTATTTCTTCCACAAATAAAAAAAAACTGTTTCAAAAATTTGTAATTTATCCAAAACACACTAAACAGGGTTTAATGTAATAAGAAAAAACCAAAGTGTTACTGGCATTTACCATGCAGATCAACCGCATTTGGTGATTTTAGCCATGTAAGATGTTGTTATTTTTTTTCACACAAAATTATATATCAAAATTTTTTGTATTTGACTAGAAACCTTTTACTTTGAAAACTTCGATGGTTGAGAAAAGAAGCCTGTTTTTTTACATATTCATGTTTCTCCTAGCATACGAAAACAAAAAAAAAAGCTTTTTTTAAAAATAACTTGCATGTGCTTTTTGGTTTTTTAGAGTGAAAAAAAAAAAACCTGTAATGTTATAGACACAAAATGTCAAATTTGCACACAATTTTTTTCCTATTTTTTACTATCTTTTCCTATCCTACCATGCTTGTTAAGAAATACCATGCTTACACGTAAAAAATTTAAGCAATGTTCTTGTTTTTGAACATTTTGGCAATTGTTTTGGGCCACATATCACTTAGAACAATTTAAGAGGCAATCAACACATTCCGAGTAGTTTTCCTTGACAAAGAGTAGTTTTCCGAGTAGTTTTCTTTGACAAAGTCTTGTTAAAAAGATGCGTGAATTTTCTCACTTGAAAACTTGAGTAGTTTTCTTGACAAAGTCTTGTTAAAAAGCGACGTGAATTTTCACATAAGACATTTCAGTTTTCAAGTGTTCATATTAATGGCAAATACCTTTGTGCAGATGCGTGGGGGAGTTCGTTGTTTAGAGGTGGTAAATAGTAGTTGTACTTCAGGTATTTCTCCCTCTCAGTCGGATCTGTCCAGTAGTTGCACACCGAAATCGTCTGGCCCAGGTTTCTACAGTTAACACGATTACTCACGTCCGTAGCTAATTTGGCGGGTGGGGGCCCGACCCCCACCACCTTCTCCCCTCAAAGGTTTTCGACCCTCTCGCTTCCCAAAGGATTTATTTGCTACTATTCTACCCTCGAAAAGGCTGGAACAAGATCTTCAAAAATCAGTCGATGAGTTTTCCAAACACTTACAGAAAACAAATTCCTCCGCAATCGGCAATCGATTGAATTATTAACCTTGCAGACATACTTTGATAGATGTTTTACTATATCTACAAAGAAAACTTGCCACAAAGTTGGATGAGTAGTTGAAAAAACTTAACCCTTTGCTTAAAATGAACCCCCTCTAAGTGATTTTAGGAAATCATTTTGACCTCTTTTTACGACCGGGCCTCTTTTTGGATCCGAAGGGCAACTGAGACAGGTTGCATGAGCGTAACAAAAGACGATTTCATAAACAGGGTCTGCGTTTAGGATCTCATAATGTTGCGAGGGCTTAAGGTGGTTTGTTGTAAGTGTTCACCTGTAACAGATGTGGTACACTTCCTCCTTCGTCAGGTGTTTTGTGTAGAAGGGGAAGGGCAGATCAGGCGGGATGCCATACTCGCCAAACCCTGAAAAACAGTTAGTTCAATAGTTAAAAATTGATATACACAAAAAGAACCGTTGAAAACAGCTTATGGTTCTTTTCGAGCCACCTTTGAAATTTTATGTGAAAAATTGTATTGACGCTCTGACATCGAAATTAATTTTTGCATGATGAAAAAAGTAAGTCTTTGAACATTTTTTTCATACCAATTGGCAATATGGAGAGGAGCGAAAAAGAACCAATAATTACACTGCACTTTGGCTCTTTGCTATACATAAATAGCTATTTCAAATCTTACTTGTATGGAATGATTTTGTACAGATGATTTTTCTAGATTTTTCGCTCTAAGCAGCGGTTTCAAATTCAGACCCATTTCTAAATTTTATCAAAATCGGACAAGGATAACAAACGTTTTCTTATAATAAAATTGACATGTGAGAGAAAAAAACGAGCCCCCTTTGTTATACCCACTGATGACTCATACCCGGCGCGGATAGGGATATGAAGGTGTGAATGTTGTCGTTGTCACTCATCTGCACCACACCCCTGGACACAATGCCCCCCTGGGAGAAGCCGAGGAGAGTGACGTCACCATAGGTGGATGTGATGTTAAAGAGGAGAGAGGAGAAGCCGGGCACTTGTTCCAGCAGAGAAAGCACAGAGAGGTCATCGTTGAAGTTGCCGTCCAGGGCGAACACCTAGAACAGGTGTAAAAATATGATTATGATATGAGTGAAAAAAAAACAGCTCTTGTACGATCGTACCAACCAACACTTTCGCAATACCCGGCGTGGATAGCAAATGAATTCTCGATCACGCAGTGCAGCTATCATTCAGAGTCTACACTTCTTGACTGGTTTAATAGACTTTCGGTCTTCATTTATAAGTGGGGTTTTTAAGTGTGGATTTTGTGCGTGTTTTCTTGAGTCTTCAAGATTGTGTGTGAGGATGAACAAAAGTTTCCAAACAATTGAGCAACGTGAACAAGTGGCGAGGAAACAGAAAAAGAGACGGATTTGGGGAATATGGAAGCGAGAAAAACCCCGTTTGCAAGAATGACAGTTAAGCCTTTACAATTCTCTGAAATTTCTGTATAAGCAGTCAAAAAAATTAGCTGAAGAAGTTTCTAAATATAGCAATCAGCAATCAAAACACAACACTACAAACAGCCCTCATAAACAGGGGCGGATTCGACCCCCTGCCGACCCAAAGGGTCCCCCCTTTGATACTTTTTCAGAAATCCATTTTTGGCAGACCGACCCTAAAATTTTTCTAAAGGCGCCTTAGGCGCCAATATATACTAACTTTGAGGGGGAGCGCGCGCCAAAAAAAAACGCTATTTTTTGTCAAAATTTTTCAAAACGTGCCCAAAAACGGCTTTTTTGACTGTTTTTTCAAAAATTTGCCTGCGGCGCAGAAAATTTTGCCAAAATAGGGGCAAAACAGTGCTTTGGGAGAGCTCAAAAAATCAATTTGGTCGACCTAAAAAAAAAAAAAGGTCGTCAAAATTTTGGAAAATTTTTTGAAAATCCGCCCCCCCCTCGAGAAAATCCTAGATCCGCCCCTGCTCATAAATCTAATTAAGTTTTGTAGGAAACTTTTCGAATAACTCAAGTTGATTTTGAAAAAATGGAGGATCTACTTCACAAAATCATTCCCAATATCGCCTAGTATGTCTACTAAAGAATGTCCTCTGTAAATCAAATTGTCTTAACATGCAGTATTTGTTAGGTGAACTTCATTTTTGTTTGTCTGATGTAACAGCCGTTGCAATTTAGATCAAACTATTTTTTGAGAAATCTAGGTGTTCTGTACTGAACAATTTTGTTTATTTCCGGCAAGGAAAACTTAATTTTTAATCTAAATTTCTGGCCTGAAATTCTTTTGAAATGTTTATATAAAGCAGGAATTTTCTTGAAAGAAAATTATTTCTCATTTGACTTTTGATCAGAAGTACCCTGAATCTAGGCTACTTCTCGCTATAAAAATTCTCCTGGTGGCATTACGAAGCCCAACTATGTATTTTGCGAGTTGTGAGCGGATTCTGGAACAAGTTAAAATCAGATTTGTCACAGATTCCGAAACATTGCAAATTTTAAAAATCTTGTTTGCTGTTTTGAATTCCAAGAACAAATAGCTAAAACAGCATTGCTCAAAATTGCTCAAAATCAGGCGAACAAAAACTAAAAAATTGCGGAGCCCGCAACAAAAGTTGCGGAATCCGGATCAGTTTGTGAATTCCACAAACAAATTGTAAAAACTGTGTATAGTAAAATTACGCTGTCGCAGAATCCGCAACTGTAAGCAGAATCCGCAAAAAAATCGCGGAATCCACAAACTGTCAGAGGATTCCGCGAAAGTTAGCGGAATCCGCAAAAGTTTTGGTAAATATGTTATAAGTTTTTGTTGAGAACTGATTTTGGTCAGTCAGAAAGATTAATTAAATCGGTGTGATCCAAAAAGCAAAAAACTGACTAAAAATGATTTCGAGAAAGTTTGTGGGGTGGTAAGTTTTATTGGAAAAATCTGGATCTTTTTTCCTATCCCCACTATTGCAAACGAGGGGCATCCCTACAGAGCTCACATATAAACAACCATGCCATTAATTAATCGCAGGGGTGGCATCTTTAAAAACCATATTATAGGTACTATAGGGGGATGAGAATAGTTGACAAGGTCCACAACTTGGAACAACAATACAGTGCTAATTTAAATTATTCGGACGAAACGACTAAAACTTGAATTTTCAAACCCGTTTTTCTCAAATTGGGTTCAAATTAGACAAAAGTGAAGAAAACAGCTGCTTAGAATTGATCAGAAATATTATGCTGAAATTCTTTCTCCAAAATTCTCAATCAGAATTTTACCCCAAAAATGGGTAATTTTTGCTTTTTCACTTAATCAAGAATTAACCTGTAACTTATTTGTTAATTGATGAAAAATATATATCTTATATATATAATATGTAGCCCTTTACACAGCCCAAAAAATTTCCAGCAAGGTTTTTAAACTCCAAAATTTTGGGTAAGTTGTTTAAAATTGTTTTTAAGCAAAGATTTTGGGTTTTTTATAATAAAAATCACGTTTCTTGACTATCAAGCAAAAATATTTTCTCTTACACAGGTTTTTGAGGATTTAATCCTTCGAGAAACTTGTTGGACAAAAGTAGTTTCAGCGTAACTTTAGATTAATTTAAAAAAGCCAAAATGACCCATTTTTAGGGGTAAAATTTTGGTTGGGGATTTCGGAGAAAAAATTGCAGCACCATATTAATTCTGATGAAAATCTTAGCAATTTTTTTTATTTCATCACTTTTTGTCTAATCTTAACCCAATTTGAGAAACACGCGTTTGAAATTTCAAATTTTGTTCATTTTGTCCCGTTTTATTAAATCAGCACTGTAAAACCGCCTCAGTCAAAGTCTTTCAAGGTCGAAAGTTCAGCAAAGGAGACCATGCGTTAACCTGCCCGCGTATATACACGACATAACATTGACTTTTCCGAACGCTTCTTTTTTCACCTGCATCCCATATTGGAAGGAGATAATAAAAGAAGCGTTTTAAAAATTTAGAAAAAAAGTGTTGTTTTTCGATCAAAAACTTTGCAGTTAAAAAAGTCCTTAGAAATTAAAAAAGATGAGACATACTGGAGTTTATTCATAAAGTGAGGTTAAAAAGTAATCAAAAAGAGAGAGAGAGAGAGATCGCAAATTAAATCCCAATTTCGTGTTGCAAAAAATAATGAAAAAATTTCCTAGTCTGGTGATAAAAAATAGTTTGGTAATTTTTCCGAACCATTTTTACGGAATGTTTGTAGAGGTGGTCTATCATAACGAAGTTTTTCCAGACTAACTGTGAATGAAATTTAGGCTTAGGATTATAAAAAACCAGGCTCCCAACAGGAAGCTTTTTGATTCAGAAATGGTAAGAAGCATAGAATCTCTCATTTTCATTCAATTGGCTCACGTCTTTGGTCGAAAAAAAAAATCCTTTGGATTGTCATTTTATCATTGTCAGGTAGTCAATAACAAAAATTTTACCTTTAGTATAAATATGATTTGTAATGCGCTCGATTCGTCGTAAACGAATTTTTTAATTTATAGTTTCTGGGGATAATTGCTTTTTCTTACCTTCATTTCAGGATAATCTTCATTGACATACTGTTTCAAAGTGTCAAACTGAGTATAACTAGCAGTCACCCCATGTATTAATACGAGAGGACGGTGTTGTTTCCTCTCTTGACTTCTGCTCAAGACAGATACCCAGAATTGGGCAAAAATAACAGAAAAAACGTACCCTGGTCTCATCTCTCCAAAAAATTAAGAGATCAGAAATACCGTGATCGATTATTGGTAAACAAATTGTTCGCAACAAAACTGCCAAACATGCCTTAAAAAGCGGAATGACTAATGAACCATGGCTTAAATAAATCGAATGCTTAATCTGTCTACGGTTCATTAAATTTGGTTGAAACTAAAGTGACCTTTCGGAAAATGACCGATTTTTCAACGTAACAGGTGTTATATTGAGCAATCGGCTGTAGATCAGGAAAAAAAAGTTTCGAAGATGACATTTCAATCATCAAATTTCTCTGATAATCAAATGGCCTGAAGTATTTCAGCATGGTTTACGCTAAAAAATTGACCGGATTCTCAATTATATCAAAACATCCCCCCATAATTTGAGCTGAAGACAAAAAAACAGCGCTATTAAAATAAATTTTCTCTGCTTCTTGCGACCCGTTCAGATTTCATTTATATTTATCGCTTCTCGCTTTTGTATTGATTCAAATAACATTATACTTATAATTTTAACTATGGCTATGTTCTCTCAGACCACTTGTGTAGAATACGAAACAAAGTTCCTCTCCAACTAATAGTTTTTTCAGTAAAGTTAAAATCTATTGAAAACAAGGAAAAAAGTACCACTAAGACCAGTATTGGACGAGAAAACTGCACAAATCTAGCAGGCCAAAAGTAAGAAAGGGTGACGAACAGATGGTGTACTCAATTTGAAGTTACTCAAGGAATTAGCCACCTAACGGAACCAACACGATCGTTTGACTATTGCAGAAAATAATTAAAAGTAACCGAGGCAAAAACAAAAACTGTAGTTAATGACAGTTTGACTGAACTTTGTTTTTTGTTCCAACTCCAACCATCCAACCATCCGGTCGTAAAGAGTTTAATCGAGCGACCATCTTTTTTCTAGAAATCTAGTTTGCAGGCAAAATTTTAGATGAGGTCGAGCTATGTGATATTTTAAAGCCTTCAGTCGTGACACATTATGTTTTGATTTAAAAAATCAAAAAAATGAATCCGGCTTCAAAAAAACTAGTGGTGATAATTTTAGACCATTAAAAGGAATAGTGTTTAATCTTTTCACAAAACGAAAACGGGACCTTCTCACCAAAATTTTTACGGTTGACAGAAACATTAGGCATACAATTTAAACTTAAGGAACAAGCGTTTGAGACGTCTAGAAAATTGTCTGATAACTCTAGGCTAGCTTTTCTGTTGAGTCAAATTGTGTTACTAACTTTTTTTTGCATGAAAGAGTTTGATTATCATTTTCTTCTCAATATTCATGCTTCACCCTAAAAAACATATTCTGATTTTTGTTTCTTTTGCGTGAAAAAAAAAGTGTCTGCCAACGTTTTGGTTGGACCAAACGTTATATACAACGTTATAGATTAAAAAACGTTACAGACGTTATGGCATGCAACTTTTTGGAAAATCATTGTTTGTGCATAGAAATGATTTGCGTCCAAAAAAAAACAAGTCCGCCAGAAAAAAAATCAAAACCAGAAGCATCGAAACAATCTATTAGTTGTGATGAAAACTGCATTAAAAATGGTTTCTAATTCCGTGAAAAATAAAATTTGAAATTCCGGTTTATCAACAGAAACAGTTTATAATAATAGTCACTCTTATTTTGCGTTACTGTAAGCAATTCATTTTGAGAAATAAGTATCACTCTTGAGGAATTGTTTATTGTTTATTTTCTACTTGTTAATTCAAAAGTGCTTGCATTTTTGCTTAACAGCTTGCAAATTGTTTGATTTTTAAAAAAGTTTTCTAAATACGGTTTCATGGAACACAGACTACACCAGTAACAAAAAGAATTAGAGCAGCAAATTAGTCACACAGTCCACTGATTGAGTCCACTTATAGTCAACTGATTTGCTTTCAGACCTTGGTTATCAAGGCAACAACGATAGTTGAGGTATAGAGTTGTCAAAAAATCAAGCAACAAAGTCTGAAAGCAAATCAGTTGACTATCAGTGGATTCAATCAGTGGACTGTTTGACTAATTTGCCGCTCTAATAATTATTTGTAACTTATTTGTCTGTGTTCCATATTATTTTTCTGTATTGAAAAAAAAGCTGTTTCAAGAATCAAGCAATATGCAAACTGCTTTGCAAAAAATGAAAACACTTTTGCATTACCAATTAGTGAAAATCGTATCGAAAATCAAAACAAAATCAATTCTTCAAGAGTGATACTTATTTCTCAAATTGAATCTTGAACAACTAATCACTTGATATCTCTGATACCACTTCTATTGAAAAAAAATATTGGAATATGTATTGTTTCCGAGGCAAAGCTTGAAGCAGAATACTTTTATCATCTATATCATCTTAGCATATCATTTCAAAAATACCAGCATCAAAAATGTACTGTTGAGGATTAAGTTATTGCATCCCTGCCTTGGATACATTTTGCTTAAGCTGATATACTAATCAGAGATTCCACCCGGGCTAGTTTTCATTCTTTTCGTTTTTGACCTTGAGGATTCGTCTGTTGGCATAATTTTTTTTATAAATGAAGAGTTTCTAGGATTCTTCCAATAGACGTCGATTTTCTTCAGAAATCTATTAGTTTTAAGTTTGGATCAAAATTTTAAATTTTTATGCATATAAAGAGCCGGAGGAGCAGTTCCCTCAGAATTCCATTTTGACCATTCCTTTTTGACAAGTTTCAAAAAGTTTGTTACCCGCGTAAAACTTCATCTTTCTTCAACAATTTACAAAAACATTTCCAAAAATTGAAAACTAGATTTGTGTAGGAAAAGGTTGACACTCATTTTCAAACTAAATCAATTCACTTATCGGAAAAAATCTCACAGCGAAGTCAATAGCTAATGTATTGCGCTTTTTCCTAAATTCGTAAACCATAGAATGCCATATTGTTGAGTTAGTCTCAGAGTTGTCATTGAAATAACCATCAACAAATATCATGCTTATATCAATTGCAGCGCGGATGAACTGCTGGAATTTAGTTCCTCAAATCTGTTATTGCCCACAAAATAGGCGGACCCTAAAATTTTTCTAAAGGCGCCTTTGGTGCCAATATATACTAATTTTGAAGGGGAACGCGCGCCAAAAACCCAATTTTTTTTGTCAAATTTAAAAAAAAAAATTGCCCAAAAATGGCTTTCTGTGAGCGGTTTTTCAAAATTTTGCTTGCGGCGCAGAAAATTTTACCAAAACATAGTCTTTTTAATGTTTGAGGAGAGCTCGGAAAGTCAATTTGGTCGACCTAAAAAAAGGGTCGTCAAAAAAAGGGTCGCCCCCCCTCGAGAAAATCCTAGATCCGCCCCTGTGCTCAGGTCAACAATATCTTTTGAATCCACACCGAGCACAAATATTCCGTTACTTTCGTTACGAAAGTCGAAACAAAAACTCAGTCATAGTGGAACAAAATCGGTTAGCCCAGTCCAACACTTGCCCTCCACTACTACCCCCCCCCCCCCCAGACACACACACCAAACGCACCTTACCCCAAACCCCGAAAACATTTAGGTACCCCAAAGTTGCGTGTTGTGGCTGAGGAGGGGGTGGTATTGGGTGAAAAGGAAGGCAATGGAATCAATTTGATTTTTACTGTTTTACTGCAAAGTTTGCTTTCTTTTCTCAGTAAAAGTGAAGTTTACTCACGAGACAAAATACAACCGAAGAGTACTATAAACCTGGTACAATGGATAAATGTTTTTTTTTACTGTAAGCACAGGAAAAGTATACGAGCAAAGTAGTTCCAGTATAAGGTTTGTGTTCAGTTTTCAATCTTACCTCTATTTCTGGATAGTCTTCTTTCACAAATTTTTTCATCGTGTCGAATTCAGTGTAGCTGGAAGTAACACCATGAATCAACACCAGAGGTCGATATTTTTGGCCCAAAAGGCTAGCCCAGAATTGGGCAAAAAAAATTAAAGGTGCAATCTGATTTTTCATGACTCACAATGTTTAACTGAACTAATTGGAATGACCGATAGTTGAGTTTATCTTCAGAACTGACGAGACAATTAGATTTGATGAACTTTTGAACTAAGCGTTACATGATATTTGCCTGTTTTGTTTTAGATGGCTATGAACAACACATCAAAATTGCCCAATGATATTTTGCTCTCCAGAAGTTCTAAACTGACGAATGAGAAACTGTAAAAACTATTGTAAGACGTAAAGTATAAAGCTAATCTAAAAAATGGGCGCTTTGGGTAAAAATAGCCAAAATATTGGCACTTTTCCAAAATTGCTTCTCATTAAAGGCTGGATCAAACTGGGTAATATTGTTCGCTGATAATGGTGATCAGGACATATTGTGCTACTTGGCTACCATATTTGAAAGTTAGCTCAAAAAAGTTTTTTCAAAATTTTTTGGATATTTTTTAGGATAAATTTAAACATTAGTCGGCTAATTCTCTGGACACTGCATGGCAAAAGTATACATTGAACCTCCCTTTGCAAGTTTCATCCGATAATTGCATGCGGTAAACTCAGTGGCGTGCGTAGAAATTTTTCTAGGGCGCGGTTTTTCAAAAAACAGGCCAAAATAGGCGTTTTTGAAAAATGTTGACCAAAAAATTGCGTTTGTTTGGCGAGCGCTCCTCCCTCAAAAATATTCATGTTGGCATCGAAGGCACCTCTGGAAAAATTTTGAGGTTGTTCAGTGAAAAATGGATGTCAGAAATATACACCCTTTGAAAAATTTTGGCAAACAAAATTGAGGGAAGAAGGGCGATCGCTCCCCCACGCCTCCCTCTCGCGCATAAACTAAAACTCTGCTCAGTGGCCGAGGAAAGGTTAGTACTCAGAAGTATCCTGGTCGATAGAAAAAACGGATTTTGGCCACTGTAACTAAAATCATTAAAAGAAATGATTGCCAATTGAAGCCTTGAGCCGAATTTTCTTTCTTTTTTTTCGCTCGCAATATTCTGCATATCGTTTTTTTTGCTCATTGATGTTGGTGGACCATAACTAGTGGCGATGAGTTGGTTCTAGATTTTGGATTATTTTCATGAATTGTCTAACGTTAAAGTTTTGAATCTCGTTGAAAGCAGTTTTAAATATATCGTTTACTGCGCGAAAATTCCTATTTTCGCGCATAAATGATTCATTGTTAGTCCTTACTCCCAGACATTCTAAAAGAGAACTGAACACACCACAATTGCTTTTCAACATGATGATTTTCATTTTCCATTGTTCTAAGACGCTAGCGCGACAAATATGTTGCGAATCTTACCATTCGTCTTATTTCATTTAATTAGTCTTAAAGTTTTTTAACTGGTTAATTTAGATATGACCTTGTTATCTTCATTCTCTCCGACGGAGAGAATGACCGCTCACTTTTTAATGTTTTAATTTAGAGATTAATTCACTTTTTAAACATATCTTATTTGTAACTAAGTAGAATTATCCGTAACAAAGAAACATTTTATCATGGCGCAGTCAAACAGCAACGAATCAAACGTGAGAGGTATACTTTCATTTTGGCAAAACCACACAGTGGACCCACCAATTCCTTGGGAAGAGTGGAGCGATCTATTCCAGCTAGCAATAATCGCAAAGGAGAATATCGATATCGAAAATCTCTTGAATCCATCGGAACGATATCATCCACTTCCCCCAACATTGGAAAATCCGCCGGAAAATGAATCCGATGCTCAAAAAACATCTCGCATCGAGAGGAATATTCGAGAACAAAAGAGATTCGATGATGAAGAAATGGCCTCAATAAAGTCAGAAACCAAGAAATTCAACGGCATGAGACTTGAAGAGGCGGACAAAAAA